GGTGGTTGTGCCCTCAGGTGCTAGGATCACCAGCAATGTTCCCTCTAAGCTGTGGAGTCTTGTGACCAATGCTCCCTCTAAGCTGTGGAGCCTTATGAGCAAAAATTCTACTTTCTGAGCTACTGGCATTACAGTTGTGAGCAGGTGATTAGGCTACTGCATAAATTAGTTTGCTCTGGAGCCATCCTTCCTCAGCTAAGACAAAAATATGTGAGCTAGAGGCTAAAAAACTGTGAGCTAGCTCACACTAACTCAGCTTACAGGGAACACTGCTTGTGAGCAAAAATTCTACTTTGTGAACTACTGGTATTAAAGTTGTGAGTGAGCGATTTGGCTTCTGCATAAATTAGTTTGTTTTGGAGCCATCCTTTCTGAGTTAAGACAAAAATGTGTGAGCTGGAGGCTAAACCACTGTGAACTAGCTCACACTAACTCAGCTTAGAGGGAACACTGCTTGTGAGCAAAAATGCTACTTTGTGAACTACTGGTATTAAAGCTGTGAGCAAGCGATTTGGCTTCTGCATAAATCAGTTTGTTCTGGAACCATCCTTCCTAAGCTAAGACAAAAATGTGTGAGCTGGAGGCTAAAAAACTGTGAGCTAGCACATACTAACTCAGCTTTGAGGGAACATTGATCACCAGGCCACATAGAACTGTCCATGTGAGAAGCAGTCATCTGTTAAGTCAGTTCCTGCCACCTTCAGTGTCTGGCCTTGGGACTTGTTGATGGTCACAGCAAAGCAGGCCTTGAGGAGGAACTGTAGGCTCTTGAACTCGAAGGGGTTTTCTGATGGTATGAGTGGTATGCATGGTATGAACACCAATTCTCCCCAAGCACTGCTGGTGAGCAGTGTGGCCTTGATTATGTTCCTGTGCAGGGCCTTCACTTGCAGACTGGTACCATTGCAGAATTTGGGTAGGCTGAGGTTCTGCAGCTGCATTAAAGTATCTTGGCCCTGCTCCTACACCTGACAAACACCCGCCTGTCTGGTGTAAGGCATTGGAGAGGCTGCACCAGCAGCAACGCTGAGGCAATCCTGCTAAGCAAGACTCTCTGATGGCTTTAAGTACTCCACGCCCCTTCCAACCCTTTACAGGCAGTTGTCTGTAAGGTGTACGAGGGGTAGCATGTCTGAAGGCATCGGGAAGGCTGGGCCAGAAGGACTGCTAAGGCAATGCTGCTTGGGCAGCCTCCCTGTTGGCTTTCAATGTTCTGCTCCTGCACCTGACAGACAACCACCTGTCAGGTACAGGAGGAGTGGGTGGGAGTGTGTCTAAAGCAGGGGTGGCCAAACTGTGGCTCGGGAGCCACATGTTGCTCTTTCACATATACTGTGCGGCTCCCGGCAGGGCGGTTGGGGAAGCTAAATATCATTAGCAAACAAATATCATTGGACAAATAAACATCATTATCAATATCTGCTTTTACCACTTTTGTTATTATTTTGGCAGTCTTATTTAATGTTAATTAAAAAACAAATTTGCATATTTCCCAGTAAAAATGTACAATATTTGTTCATGTCTTGCAGCTCTCAAACATCTGACATTTATTCTGTGTGGCTCTTATTTTAAGCAAGTTTGGCCACCCCTGGTCTAAAGCTATTGGGGAGGCTGGCCCAGCAGCATTGCTAAGGTTTTTCTGCTCCAACAGCCTCCCTGGTGGATTAAAGTACCCTGGCCGCCTCCCTGATGGATTAAAGTACCCTGGCCCTGCCTGTCAGGTGTTGGGGGGGAGTATGTTTAAAGGCATTGAGGAGGCTGGGCCAGCAACAGCACTAAGGCTGTAAACATCTCACCCCCTCTCCTACCTGTCCAGTGTAAGAGGGGAAGGGGTATTGCAAGCCATTGTGGAGGCTAGGCCAGCAGGATGACTAAGGGGCCAGTTCCTGCTGGGGCGGGCTCCCTGATGACTTTAAGCACTCTGCACCCACTGCTGCACCTGACAGACAGACGCCTGTCAGGTATAGGAGGTGGGGGGAGCCTGTTTTAAGTCATTGGGGAGGTTTGGCCAACAGCTTTGCTGCACCTCACAGGTTGTTGGTCATTCCTGATTTCCTCAAATGTCATTAGCTCTCTGCAGTCTCCTATAACTGTTTTTTAACCTCAGAACACTGAGCTCTGCAGTTGACCAATTAGAGAGTGGAGGGTACAAAGAGGTAGCAGCCTGGCAGCCACATAGGAAGCAATGGGGGGAGCACATTTTACCCCTTTTGATCCCCTTAGGGGTCAAATTTCTAAAAAAAAATCCCTTCTTTGTGAGCATCTATGTCATGGTAGGAGTGCTCTCCCCGAATTTGGTGTCTCTAGGTCCAGCAGTTTGGTCTGGGTGTTGATTTTATGGTGAGGGGACTTTCTTTTATATATAGATGAAGCTGCTGCATACACAGAATTTTGGATCACACAGCTCAGTATTCACTATTCTTCAGGGTCTTAAGACAGAAAAGGAGCTTTCTCAACATCTGTGGCCTTTTTACAGGAGAATGCCAAGGACTGAATCTGGGACCTGGTACAATAGCCCATGTCTAGAAAGTCAAGGCCCACAAATTAAACATTATGGCATAGAACTGAAAACATGCAAAAGGACCATAGTCACTTTCTTCAAGGCATTCTCATGCTTGGTGGAGGAAGACTTCTATATAAATCTTCACCAGTTCCTGTTAACAATATGAACTCACAGGGACTAGCACAGGCTGGAGGAAGCCTGCTCAAAGTGACTGCAAAAATACAAAGAGTTGGAACATTCAGATCTTCCCTGTTCTATATGCAGTCTCATGGGAGCAGTTGCAAGATTACGTCATATCCTTCAGCTAACATTTAACTTCATGTTAGCATGTTCATACCAAGAAGTTACAAAGCAGAACTAAATTAGCAAACAGCACTCAGTGATTATTCATACACAGCCTAATCCATAAGAGCACTGTATATATAACAGCTCTAAGCAACAGTAATTATTGTGCCCGCTGAAAGCAAACATTTTTACAAAAATGATCATTTCAGCAATGACAAGGGAGAGACAGTTGAATTCTTGGGAAAAGAAACTAATCATTATAAAAAGTTTTCAGCACCGTCTAGAAAAATAGAAGTCAGTTACCTTTTTTCTTCGAGAGCCTGATTTGCTCATGCAGGATCTATCCAAGGAAAGGTAACCCCCTATGACCTCAATCTCATTAACAGTGGGGTAGCGTTTTTTGAGAAGCTGACCCAAATCCTGGTGGGTCACATCACCCCTAGCTTTGGCTCGGCTTTCTTCTTCATCCTCCTCCTCCGGCAGCTGAGCTCTGCTGAAGGTCTCCAGTGCAGCACTAGGAGGTTTCCTTTTGGGCACGATGGTAAAGGTGTTACTACCTTTCTCAGAGAGGGTGGCATAATCAGCAGGGTGGGGCCTGTACATGGGCACAGCCAAGTCCTCCATCCCGATGGAGGAATCACCTTCCTGAAGCACATCAAAGCCCTCAAGCCTTGGACTCAGGACTTTCAAGGGGGGGAAGTCACCAGTGTCCAATTCAACCAAGTCCTCATCGATATAAGTCACAGGCACCAAAGTCTCAGCCCGCTTCTCTGGGGCAGCTGGCGGTACTCCTCCTGGCAAAGTTGGGGGGACTTCGGTAGGTTCCAATGGTCCGGAGGCTTCTCCTTTCCGACGGGGCACAAAAAGAAAGGAGTTTCGAGAGTTGAGGCGCAGGCTGGCCAAGGCCTGTGCTTGGAGATCATGAGCAGGGATGGCATCTAGGTCTGGCCTGGGGGCCGGGCGGATCTCAAAGGAGCCATTAGAACAAAGGAGCTGTGGAGGCTGGGCTGAGTTGGCTGTGGCACTGCTATCCGAACTGGCACTACACTGCTGGGCTGGTAGCTGTGGGGTCTCCGGGGTCCCCTCAAGGTTTGGCTTCCATGAGTTGGCTGGAGTCGGCAAGGCAGCAGCAGAGCTTGGCGATGGCACTGGCTTGGGTGCAGCTACCACCTGTTGATTTCTGCCCCCAGGTGGAACTGGTGCAGCAGCCACTCCGGGCTCCACAGGCCCGTTACTAAGTGCAGGGACGGAATTTGCAGATACAGGGCAGCATCCACGGGGGTTCACCACGAAGGAATTGGAGCCAGTCTTCTGCACGAAGCCTCCAGGTGGTTGGCCGCGTGGAGAACCAGGAGGAGCTGTGAGAGACAGCAGCGCAGGAGTGCCTTCTTGGGAAGGGTTTGGCACCACTGGCTGCAGCCGAGAGGCCTCGCCAGCCCTCCACCTCCCTCGTCCCACATTGCCCCGTGGCCACCGGTCAAATTTCTGCAGCAGCCGACTGACCCTGCCAGTTTCAGGCTCGGCATCTCCACTCCCAGGCAAGGGTGACCGAGACGGCAAGGATGACTCAGACTCATAGATGACGACTTCAGCAGCCCGGATCTCGGTGACAGCAGCGGACCCACCGCGGGAGAGGAGATCCCGGAAGGGGTCTCTGCCCCGAGGGGAGCTCGGGAGCGGCGACGGGGAGGCTGAGGAAGCTGGCTGCCCGCCTGGTGGGGAGTCGGTGCTGTCTCCTTCCTTCTGGGCCAGCCCTGCCGCTTCCCGGGATTCGATGATGAGGATGTTATCGGCGCGGATGGTGCGGATGCCCGGGACGGAACTGTACAGCTCCAGCAGCTGCGCCAAGGCAGGAGGCTCGGAGGAAGAGGCGGCAGCTGCCGAGGAGGTGGAGGAAGCCGATAAGGCAGGCCGGGGTGGAGAGGGCAGAATCCGCCGGCGCCGCCGCCTCCGCTCGCCCTCCAGCCTCATGAACGGGTTCTCCCGCAGAGGGCCCAGGCTTTCGGCCACCACGAACCGCTCCTTCGCCGCCGCCGCCGCCTCGCACTCTCT